GAGGAAAATGTGCAACGGTCAGTGAAGGAATGAAATCCAAAGTCTATAAACTTTCATTAAAATTTCAATTAAAGAAATGTAAAGGAAAACAAATAGCAAAAATCATTGTCAGACTATCAAGGATATTAAAAATATCATAAAAATATTTTAAAACAAGATTGTTAAGTTCTGTGGACTCATAGGCGACTTACAGCGACCCTATGAACAAAAGACCTGAACACTGTATAACTTCCATCATTTTTCCAGATTTAAAGGATTTCCAGAGGCAGGCTATTTCGGAAGTGGATGCCACTCCTGCTTCCAAGCTTATTTTAATATCCTAAATTAGACATTCTTTTCACACCTACTTTTCCTACAGTTGTAAATGTCCCTTCTTCTTAACCTGTAAATGTTTCTCATCTTAAGGGTTACTCTGATCACTTGTCATCCCTTCAGGTTCATTTGTTTCCAGTTGTGAAGTTATTTGAGAACTTGTTGATAGCAAACTTGTAACTTCTTATTGTAAAATAAAATACATTTCTTATTTTCTTAGATGAACTTCCAGAGATGGAATTATTGAGTATATTATATACTTTTTGTCATTCTAGGTAATGGAAACCTCAGCTCAGTCTTCTGGAGATCATCAAGAACAACATGTCTCAGTTCAGGAAATTCAGGAGCTCAAAGAAGCTCTCAGCCAAACAGAAACAAAGTCAAAGTCCCTGGAAAGTCAAGTAGAGAATCTTCAAAAGGTATGAACATGAGAGCAGTAAAAAGTAATGTCCCTTTTTGTCTGCCTAGAGAATATAAGAGTTTATCACTGACAGTATTTAACTCTACGTAAATGAAATCTAATGATCCTCAGCACTTGGCTGGAAACCAGAGTTGACAGTTTGACCCTAACATAGCTTTCTTAGTGAAAAGTCATGGTGATGTGTTTTCATATATATTTATAATCTAGGAAACTTTATGTTCAGTTCTACACTATTTTAAAGTGTTGCTGTGAGTCAGAATTTGCTTGATAATAGTATACAGCAGTCATTTAAAAAATGTTCACTCATATGATTTGTCCAGCATTTTATGATTATACTTTTCATTTAACTAAAAAGGAAGCAATTTAATAAGGATTACATTTTAAGAAATGTAAGGTATATTCATTTGATTTAATTAAATAGTGACTTATTTGCTTTCTTTTAAAAGACATTGTCTGAAAAAGAGATGGAAGCAAGAAATCTTCAAGATCAAACTGTGCAGCTACAGTCTGAACTCTCACGTCTTCGTCAGGATCTTCAGGATCGAACCACACAGGAGGAACAACTCAGACAGCAAATAACTGAAAAGGAAGAAAAAACAAGAAAGGCAATTGTAGCAGCAAAATCAAAAATTGCACACTTAGCTGGTAAATACTTGCATGCTTTATTCTCTGAACTTATACATGAGAATTGGTTAATCACAAACTTTGATTAATCTCAGTTTTCACTGATTTGCATTTCCTTTATTTCCTTATGAAGATTTTGTTTTTGTTTTTTAAACCACTCCTTCATAGTATTTTGGTGTAGTCTATAGGGAGTTGCACATATAACTCAAAGGCTGTACGTTCAAATTCACCAGTGGTTCCAAGAAAGAAAGATGGGCATTCTCTCTTACAGTTTACAGTCTTGGAAACCCATTGGAGAGTCAATATTTAGTTTTGATTAAAGTTAGCACAGCAGGTTAGTTTTCCATTTAGCAAGTACTGTTCCTATTTTTCAGAGACATTGATTACATTTTTCAGTATTTTAAAATTCTCATTAGTTCCCTTCATATTGATTTGAGGATGCTGTGGTTTGGTTTTGTTTTTTGTTTTAAATAAGTGGCTGCTAGTTGAGTACTGTTACCTTTCTCCTCTTTTGCTCTGGTTATACTATCTATTGACCTTCTACTTTGGGCCCAAACCTTACTGCCCAGAAATCTTTGCCAAGCTTTTAGACAGTGTTGAATTGAGTCCAGTGCTAACAAAGTTCAGGGAACAGCTGAATTTATCTTGCCATGATGTTCAGTAGTAGAACTGTCTACTACTGTCTATTGAATTATAAGCATTAATTTAATGATCTTCAAGATAAGGTCTCAATTTATTCAGAACTAAGATACTTTACTATTTTCGAGTGACTTATTTCATTATTCTAAAGTAAATATTTTAAGTATCATATGAAATATGAATGTTGCAACTCCTATCTTTATTTTTAAAGCTACATTTAAATATTCTAGATAAAAGCTTCTATTTACTACAGTTTTAACTTTTTGAGATCTTTGACAATTACATATTTTTATATTTAATTAATAAACTGAATATTGTTAGAACTTTGCTCATTGAAAGATTTTGAAATACAGTATGGACCTTATACCTCCTTAACATGTGAGTGTTCTTTACTTCTGATGTTAATTGATTGTAATAATGATAGAATTATGTCATTATCTTTGTAGGAGTAAAAGACCAGCTAACTAAAGAAAATGAGGAGCTTAAACAAAGGAATGGAGCCTTAGATCAGCAGAAAGATGAATTGGACGTACGTATGACTGCTCTTAAGTCCCAGTATGAAGGTCGAATTAGTCGCTTGGAAAGAGAACTCAGGGAGCATCAAGAGAGACACCTGGAACAAAGAGATGAGCCTCAAGAGCCTACTAATAAGGTGATTAGTTAAATCTAATTCCATGAATAGTAATTAATTTTTTTTCTATGTACATATTGAGAGTTCATAAGATTTTTAGCACCTTTTCCTGGAATTAATTTTTATGAAAATTTAATGTATACAGAGATAATTATTAGTAGTAAATATATACATAGCGTATCTGAGTGAAATCCTGTGAGAGTGGCACATTAATGAGTAATTTTCTTTTCATAGGCCCCAGAACAGCAGAGACAGATCACATTGAAAACAACTCCAGCTTCTGGTGAAAGAGGAATGTAAGTTGTATTTCTTTCATAATGTGATAGCTAATTTTCATTTTAAGTTTTTTAAATGATCTAGTAGAAATATATTGAGATAAAATAAGTCTTTACTTTTAAAACATATGTATTTGGAGATTTTTTAAATTTTTTATTAAATTGTATTAATTTTAATGAACATTTACAGAGATTTTGGGTTTCCATTCATTCATTGTTGCACTATTTTCTCTACCCTCCTCCCCAGTTCGTTCTTCTTTTTTTTCCCCCCTTGAAAGTCTGTTTT